TTATTTCGATTGTCATCGCAAGATCTGGAGAAGGTTGGTATGTTTTTCAACTTTAGACAATGTTTTATGAGCTCAAGGGCCCGCTCACTTTACTCTTCTCCGACCGATGGTCAGTCGTTGGTGGTGTGCTGGTTCTTCTGAAAAGTAAATTTATCTGAAATTGACTTTATATTTCCATCCTACTTCGTCTATCCTTCGAGATTTCCTTGTCATAAATTTGGCATTTATTAACTATGAGGAACCATTTTTAAGCTCAATTTGTAAAAAAAGTAATTGGGGAGTTAATGTTGCTTTTTAAAAAGGCTAAAAAGCAACAATACATGCTTTTTTCTCTAATGCAAAACCTAATTGTTTTATGGTTGCTTTTATAATGAAAGAACACGTTTATAAAGTATTTTATCATGACATTAATAAAAATGCTAATAACGTTTATGCTTGAATTACAGAACAGTTTTAAGGAGGGATTGATAACTGTTTTAAATTTATTTTTAAAACAAGACAGTTTTTGACTTTCTTGCCAGACTATAAAAGGTTTTTAAAACAGTAAAAAGCTGAATTATTAAGCAGTAATGTTTTACACTTTAAAATGCTATATTTAATCTAAATGGATTGTTCATTGCCGTTATAAAACCATCATAAATCAGAGTGGATGCTAAATGGTTACTGAATTGTTACTTGGGATGCTTGTGAACGATTTCCCACCGGAGGTATCCCACTGTGCTCAAGCATTTGGTTGAACGTGTTATCCATAAAAAATGTTATCGGGATGAGCATTGAAGTGTGCACGGGAATATATTTTATAACGGAGGATTAAAGACAAGTGTTTCATATGCGAAAATATACCCAACGGAAATTTCAGAAAGAGTCAGAAAAATAACTAAAAGGGTGAGGACAAGGAGAGAAAATGGAGTAAATTGGGGAAATGAGTTACTTCTACTGTATTTTAAATCAATATCAAGAAAAATGTACGAAAAGTTCACTAAACATCTCAACGCAGTCTACGTCAACCATTCGGTCGTGTCTTGTACACAAACCCACCATTTTTTTTAAACTTTTTTTTTGTCTGTTAGATTTCCTTAAGTTAGAAGTTTCGAAGCTAACGCATGTTCACATAGGCCTTGTACAAAGATAGATAGAAAAAAATGTATCCTGAAGAATAGATGCGTGAAATTGACAGGAAAACCTCTCCTTTTTGTTTGTTTACATTTTATTTTAAACAGGATTGAAATTAAAATTGGATAGCTCGGCTAGATTGACCGCTACCGCTTTTGCTTACTGAGTAGAAGATCGTGGGTTTATTCCCAAACTCCTCCAAAACAAAACAATTACTATGGTCGCATCGCCTGCTTAAGCGAATCCTGACACTTCACCTACCCAACTATCCAACTCCGTAGCATCTATGGGGGCGTCGGTGAGTCGCTGGCCTTCCGTTAAGTAGATGTTACATCAACAATATCCTTCATTTCCCCGTAACGGAGAAGATGGGCGTGGCCGGCAATGGTAATTGTCTTCCTTTTTCTGTGCTGAACTTTGATTGTAGAACTATTCACTCCCAAATAGTTTTCCTTAAGCAATTAGAATAAGAAAGATAAAGTAGATACATGACAGTTGTCAGTATGCAACCTACGAATTACACCGTTACAAACACAACGCAACGCAACGCAACGCAACGAACGGTGCCCGCTTTTTTCAACTGGTGACGGATTGAGGAATTTGAGTTATCGCGAAAGCTGTTTTTATGAGCAAATGTTGACTTGTTTTTTGATTTGATTTGAAGATTGCCAAGACAACAGGTCCACACCATCCCCGCTAGGTTTCCCAGCCAAGCATTCGAAATCCGCCGAAAAGATTCATTAATGCTCCGAGCACGTACAGCATACCGTACACCTTGATATCTCGGTGGAACATCTTGATTTTATGCCATCAGAGGATTTGTCAGCGACGTTCTTTTTATTGACTTCTTGGTACGCACGTCTCACGTGCAAAAAGCTCGTACAGACAGATTTACCGGGTTCTTATTTACCAACACGGGAAGTAGGTGACTGGAGTTATGATGCTTGTATGATTTGGCATCCGGAATTATTATTTGAATATTTATGCCACGCTGCAGAGCATTACCGTAACGGGGAGAAATCCCTAATAGCTTTCGGATCAAGTAGGGTAGAATGGTGCCTAATGCACCCTTTAAGCAAAATTGTTAATTGCTTGCATATTGAAGCTACAATCATGGAGAAAATAATTGAGTATGGTTCATTAACATGTTTTCTACGAATATAGAGTGATTTCGAACTCCAAAACGATGGTTTTTCATGATTTTCAAGGCATTTTTTAAATCGATTCCAAAATGATAGCGGCATAAAATGCCTTATTCATGTTGCAATATTTACCACAACATTGGGAAAGACGCACGACAACAATGAACAAAACGCATCACAATATAAGAGTAAAATGCACCGCTCTATAGAGACAAACCATAACCTGCAAGTAGAGAATTCAATGGCATGAGGTATTTTAAATTATTAAAATCCTTTATTTTGCATCTGAAATAAGGTCTCAATAGAGTGTTAACCTGTTATTTATAAAGTAATACATCGAACATATATTCGAGAAGTTAATGCGTTCCATTCTTTTGCGATACATGCTGTTTGAAGCTTAATTTGTAGTCGATGATCATGTTTTGCACAAAATTTGAAAAGAATTAGAATGATTTTATGATCAGGAATTATTTGAGAAACCTCCAAATAAAACAACCACAATCTGTTACTCAGCAAAAAGCATCTGAGGAAAAGTTATCTTTTTTTTTCTACAGGTGGACATTTTACCCCAGGGGTGCATTATGGGCTGTTCTCCTCTACGGCAGAGAGCTATAAACGTGCACACTTCCTTGTTTTCCTGTTTGTTTTTGGAGGATATGCCATAACGAAAAACATTGGTAATTTGTGGATGGTGCTCGAGGATGGTCTGAACACAATTAACGTGCTTGAATGTGAGCATCAAAATCCAACTTGAAACTAGGGTAAGGCAGAAAGGTTGCCGGTGCCGGTGGTGTAGTAGACGGCATGGGATTTTTCTGAGACATTAAAATCTTTGGTCACGTCTTCCTTCGGAAGGGAAGTACAGCCTTTGGTCCCGGCCAGCAAACATACTTGTCCATATATAAATTAATAAATGATCCATAAAAAAATAATAAACGCTCCTTAAAAACATCCAACTGATGCATAAATCTCCGGCGAAGCAACACAATTATGAAAATGAACCTCCAAATTTATAAAGAATGAACATTAAATTGTACGATTTACTCATAAACATATTGCGAATGATCCATAAAGCATTCAACAATGAACCATAAACTAAAGAAATTGATCCATTGATGCATATTGCAGAATATCCAGTTCTTGAACTGGCCAGCACGTAACACCGATCTGTAAAATGGGGTAAGATTCACCCCCAAGTCAACATTACTTCTTACCACCATTTGTATGAAAAAATAAAGTCTATCTTGCACAAATATGGGGTAATTTAGCCAGATATGACAATAGCACTCCAGATTTTGGCTGTTGGATTTAACTCAAATGTTTGCCATGTAACTTGGGAAGATCACCTTTTTGTGGTACGTTACGAGATGTAAGATCTACCACCGATTCCTAGTCCTGACTACTTAAAACTAGGGCAACAGGATTTTTCAGAAATCAAAGGAACACAGGCCGTCGACTGGGATTGAACCGAGGCCTTTTGGGGTGAGAGGCAATCACGCTTACCACTACACCACCGGCGCCACTGATATTTTATTTTAACTTACCAGAAAAGCCTTCTTTATGGGAGGCTCCAGGGTGTACGATTTTGACTCAAATTTAGGTTTTGACGAAGGACTACGTCTGTGATTTCTATATGGGGGTACACTGTGTGAAAACTGAAAATGGAACATGTAACAAAATTATGAAAGATTTTGAACGTTCATATCTCAGCTACCAATTCCAATAATTTTGTCATCAATCGATCAAATATGTTTCTACGCAACCGTTAAATTTAAAACTCGATATTGAATTCCATCCGGTCTCAACAAACGGTGTTTATTCAATCACCGCGTGTTGAGTGGTAGTGTTCACCAGTACACAACGAAAGGCTACCTGCAAGCAGCGAACTGCAGCTCACATGAGCATCCATAGAAAGAGGAACAAGGTGCACCGCTATTGATCGGAATCAGTAGCTCTTCGTGAGTAATTGTGGGCCATCTATGCCAAGCGCGTCACCCTCATTTCAAACAACATACAGCACCAGCCTCATCTGTGTTTAACACCCTAATAGCTCAGCATTCCTCAACCATCACGACAAAACAATCGTTTTCAGGAGCACCATAAAATTTTAAAAGAGTTTTTTTTGACATGGACGATATATACCGAGCTGCGTTCCAATGCAATAAAATGGATCAGGAAAATGTGGAGTGTATAAGTGAGGGAAATTAATCATGCCGAAAACAATAGATTTTTTTTGCCGAATCTACTCGAACCATTCGTGTTTTTTTTTTTTTGTGATTATCAGACCTCTGCTCTCTCCATGCTTCGTACGAATAGGTGAATAAGAAGCGCTCATTTCCTCTCATATTAGATTTCGTATGCTTTTTCTGCTGAACGGGAATTGGAGAGCGTCGTGGCAAGTGTGTGCGTCGTTCTAAAATGTTATAAATAAAATACTTGGAGGTATAGTCGAAAGCGTCGACAGAACACGAAATATGTATATCATTCGCTGCGGAGGATGATAGGATATGCATATTGAATGCCATACATTTTTGGATTGCGTGTATGAAACTTAAGCTGAGCACATAATAATTTAGATCCATAACAGGTGTTTTAATTATTTTAAATAAAAACTGAGAAACGGTAGTGAGTATATTAGAGGCTTTGTGTACACTTTTGATTAATTTAGTGCTTTCGAAAATTGACATACTCTCAACATTTGAATTGTAAATCACGACATAAATGATTTTTTATATTACTCAACAGGTCCGAGCTCTTTGCATTGCCATGGACAGCCAACGGGCCATCGTGGGAGGTGAGGATACCCGTGCCCTGATCTTCGACATGCACTCCGGCCGAGTGATTCGGTCACTTCCCCCCAATCCTGGTCCGGTATCTGCGGTATACGTAATGGCAAAGGACGACTATCTCATAACAGCCGGTGGCAACAAAATCACCTTCTATTCATTCCGTAACGAGGACTCGCTAATCAACTACTTCCCCAAAAAGAAGAAAACCTTGAAGAAAATTGCCAAAAGTCGCATCGCTCTGGCAGCTACAGCAAGTCCTGTGATTTGTTTCGATATTTCTAGAGATTCAACCATGGCAGCCGTAGCGTCTAGTCGATGCATTCAAATTTGGCAATTGAATACCCCGGAATTGACAGCTATCCTCGAGGGGCACAGTGCAACGGTGACATGTGTGAGCTTCGCACCGAACTGTGAGTTTGTTGCGTCTGGATCGGAAGATAAGACTGTGAATGTTTGGAGTTTGGCACTGGGAACGGTTACGGTGACATTCAAGGGTCACAATACGTTCATCACTTCGGTTACGTTCTTGATGGATTCGCGTCGAATTATTTCAGCTGATCGAGAAAGCAGTCTGTTCGTCTGGATGGCTGACTCTGGTACTGTACTGCAAAGTGTTCAAGGACCTTTCAAATGTCTAGCAGTCACAAATAATATGAAGTTTGCGGTTTGTACCAACGGAGACACGAGTTTACGGATATGGTCCCTCACGAGAGAAGACGAAAAGTTCTTAGTCTCGCACTCAGGGGAGATCACTTGTTTCATAATCACAGCTGATTCGTTGTACTTGATATCCGGTTCGAAGGATATGTCACTTAAAGTGTGGCAAGCCTCTGGTGGAAAACTAGCCCAGGTATTGGTAGGTCACACAGATGCAGTTACTTGCGTAGCAGTTTCTGTTACCAATAAGAGTCAAGTCATATCCGGATCCAAGGATTCCAACTTAATAATATGGGATATTCATACGGGTGAAGAGATTCATACGCTCGCTGGTCATCTAGCGCCAGTTACCTGCGTTAAAGTCTCAGCAGACGGTAAGTTTTTATGTTTAAACTGGATCCTTCGAATGACTAATAGTTTTTCATGAAATATAGGAACAACCGCCGTTTCAGGAAGTGACGACAAAACGTTGATCGTTTGGGAGATAAAACGTGGGCTTGCTCTAACATCTCTCCAGATTCATGTTCAATTCTCCCGTTTTGATATAAGTATGGAGTGTTCCAGGATCGTAGTTCAATTAGTAGACAGTTCCTGTCTTCCCATCATTTGCCTGCATAACTCTCCTGCTTCGTATATCAAGCTTCCCACTTACTCTGCTCCAGCACGAGACGTCGAAGATCTGCGACCCGCTGGCCCGAAACGACCAGCACGAAGATTGCTGAAAAAGGAAGTGTCTCTCGATACCTACACCTGGCAAAAGAAGTATGCACACCTGACTTCATCGGTCATGATGGCTCAGGTAGACGAAAGACTGAAACGCCGCTTCTCAGTATCGGCAAGCATGGAGGAAATCTCAAAACTGGCAGAAACCAAGACGATGGAGTCACAGCAAAACATAGGCCCCGAACAGGCTGCACTGGCTCAATCGCAGCACTTTGATCAGCTGGAAGCCCTGTGGAATAAACGATCTCCTCCAAGAAGACGAGTAAATGCGGTAAGTGTGAGCTCAATTAGTATCCAAATGACATTTATTGCCAATTACCCATTCTTTTCAGTCACTCTCACGACAGAGTTCCCTGGTAGAAGACCGCATTGAATCGTCCGATGAGGATGAGTTTCTTGAGGAACGCGCAGGTACGTCTAAGAAACATCAATTTCTTTCAATGCGTCCTGTTTCGCTTCCAGTAGATGCATGGCACTATTCTAGTTTATTTCACTCATCCTTCACCCACCACCAAAATCCAAGCCACCACGACCACCACCAGCATCAGCCCGATCTACTCCGGGAAGTTCTGATGCTGAAAAAACAAGTCTCGGCTCCAGGCCCGGCTCCACCATCAGATGATATCGCCTTCACGGGTAATGGACGAAAACTGAAACTGTCGTCCACCGAAACTGATCTGCAATCGTTCTTTGGTAACTGTACCACTTTTGGTAGTCTATATTGCAATGCACGCCGAAAACACGCACATCGAAGTCCGGAATGTGAAAGTAGAGCTTACATTCGTCGACAGTCCAGATCGATCGAGAACTTGCGATACGAAGATGAAGCACGTCTGAGGCGAAAATATCGATCCTGTCTGATGCAGTAGACTGGAAGCTGCATTTGATGTTGCATTATAACAACTTAAAGTACAAAGTTGACATTAGGTAAAGGGCTTAGCATCAGTTGTTGCCGGGGGTTGATTATAATGTCCGTCTATGAAAGGTGATGCAGTTGATATGATTGTAAACCTTAAATCTTAGGGGTATACTGCCGCTCTTCGCATGTCGGTCCCATAGCAGTTTTTGTCAAAACTGAGTTTTACAATGCAAATGGTAGCTGACCACTCATATTTTCTTAATACTGGATGAACTCAATAACTTTGTTCTGAAAAAGTTTGGAAAGACAGCCAAATTGGTTGTCTCATCACATAAGAAGCAATGGTACGAATCAAGCTAAAAATGCGATTTTTTCGGCTTGCTGATTTTTGCCATGGGACCGACATGCGAAGAGCGGCAGTATAGCCATTTAGTATGTCACGCTCTAATAGGGTGGGGAGGGGGATTGGTTTTGAATTCTGTATTCTCTGTTTCACGTTACGTGCTTAATGCATCGCCGCGAACTTTGACGCAGTTATCATTAATCTGAAATACGATTATTGAGCTTCATTATTTATAGCGACTTTAGTTCAATTAAAATGGATAATTTGAACCATTTGAGCCATCTTCATAGTAGTATATTATGGGGCCACCATAGCCTAGTCATCAAAGGCGGTCTGCACAAAAGATACTTCAGCAAAATTTATTTTAAAAAAATAGCTGGAAATACTGTCAGGGACGGAGGGACTTTTGATGTAATTTTTGGGCAGAATATATAAAAATGAAGTCCCTCCCTATGTTAATCTAAATGCATTTATAGAGGTACCAGACAGGTTTTGAACTTCACCGTCCTCTGTGAGCAATTAATGGAAAAAAGATTATGCGTAGCTTTCGATAAATGTCACTGCAGTAACATCTGATGGAAAATGAATGCATAAGCTTGACAAAATGCTTAATTTCAATGGATTTTTTTTCCGAGTTCTCGTTCAAGAAGCTTCTGAAATAATTTTCTCGAGTCAGGAGTGTGCATTTGAGCGAACCGAGATGAACAAAACAGAACGCACGGCCAAGAAAATAAACCCAAATTTGAGTTCAGTTTACTTATATACGCAAAAAGTGCCGGAATTTAGCGATATTTTCCTGTGGAAAACCACAAAAATCTACCGAAAAATGAGGAAAATTTATGAAAAGTTTGCACAGTTTAGGAGTGGTACCAATAAACTGAGAGGAACATGAGTAAACATGAGTTTTTTAAATTCTTTATTTAAGAGATTTTTAGCCGAAGGCTAGTTCATCTCTAGTAAACATGAGTAAACATTGAGTAAACTGAACTCCAATTTGGGTTGACTTCATTGGCCGTGAAGGAAAAAAAAACCTTTCGTTCATGCATTGGTAGAAGCTGTCACTTAGAGATACAAGCAACAAAAAATACACAGAGAAAATGCATTTAATTTGTGTATGACATAATTTACTCACTAGATGGAGCTGAATCGAAAATGATCAAGTTGCGCCATCCTAAAATACACATAAAATAACGCTATCTACAGCTCCTGCTTGATAAAGTTGTTCAGATGGACAAGACCTATCCTAAGGTAAAGCGTTTAGTTCAGAACTCACTCACCAGACGGTGCTAATGTGACATTAATTTTGAATTGTTTGCCCTAACTTTTCATATGGACTAGATAGAAAGATTCCGTCTTCAAAAAAGTTGTTCAGATAGACAAGACCTATCCTTAGGTAAAAAGTTCAGCTCAGAATTCACTCACCAAGTGGCACTTGTGTGGTATTCAGAGGCATCGCGTGCCTCATTTGTTTACTTGTGCACCAAACTTTGTTCGTTATAGTTTACCACCACATATTAGTTTTTGTTTTATTTTTCAATGCTCCATGAATTCGAGGGGTATATTCTCCATTACTATATTAATCACTACCGAACGTAACATTTGCGGGCCTATCATCTTGTGTAAGCAAAACTTGTATGGCCCTTTTCGCGCTAACCGAAGTAAAAGGAATTGCAAAACTTAACTAATTCTCGTTTTTATCACAAGGCTAACTCTTTCCACTGAAGTGTAATGAAGAATATCCGTCAAACACTTCCGAAAACATCTAGAGAAAATTCATGAAATTCCCTGGATAGCAAACTTGAGTTAATCATCAGAACAACTCCATGAGAATGAACCAGGGGAAGCTCATAAGTTTTAACAGGCGCACCGGCGCAACCATCGGAATTTGAGAGATTTACAAATGACAAGAGAGTGAGAGCGCTCTCTTTCTCCATTACTCTCTTTGCCTGCAATCAGCGCGTGCACAGCGAGAAATGCACGCTTTAGGCGGCATCCATACATCACAAATGTTCTTCTAATTTAAACTCACACATTCAAGCCGGTTTGCAAGTGATAACGTCCAAAGCGTACCAGACTGCTGTTTCCGTGTTACTCCCGTTTGTCGTGTGACAACTAAAATTTTAATTACAACTAGTGGTGCAAACCGCCATGTACTGTGGAAAATTTGACCATTCAAAACATGCCAACCGCAACCCAAAAAGCTCGCTTTTAGGTGCACTATTTAACGAGTTTTGTCATGGTAGTGATATCGACATGCTTAGAAATCAATGCATTAGGGATTGGGAGACCATCCGATTTGAATTTAATCCTTTTTTAAGCAAACCAAGGTCGAAGATTTAATAGATAAAATAGTGTATTCATGGTCATTTGTGGTCTGGAGTAAAGAAGTACAGCTATAATGTGACCTTAAAATCTATAAAAATCTAAACACATTTTTTTTAAATTATTTACACCTGTGTCGTGCACAGGTTGCACATGTGGACGCGACGCCACTGGTGATATTCATTTTTAATTGTTTAGTCTAGCCTAACCCATGGACTACATAGAAGGTTCCCTTCTTGGGTAACGATGTTCAGATGAACAAGACCTATTATTTGCTACAGGGGCTATTCAAAGATTATGTTTTTGCCCATTTTAAAAGCTATGCATTGGAGTGGTTAGAATTCATTCTTATGACTCCATACACTATAAACTTCAAATATAAGGCAGGAAACAGATAAATTCCAAACGATACAAAAATGAGAATCAAGATAATAAGAGCAAACAATTCCAAATTATTGTAACTCTACCACCACCTGCTGAGATAATCCTAAACTAAACTTTATACTTTAGGGTAGGTCTTGTCCATCTGAACAACTATACCAAAGACAGAAACTTTCAAAATTAGAAAAATTCTTGTAAATTTAGGTGCTCTGAGAGTGACATATACGAGCGTCAATTTTGATATAAATTTGAGTCATAACAGACGTGAAATATAGCTTAATCAAACGTACTTTTCGTCGACCAATATTACATAATATGTTTGTTTACGTCTCATTTATTATGTCAAAGATGGATTCCATCACGTGTATAATTCGTGATTTTTAAGTGTGTAAAATAAGTCTTGTTCATATGCACAACTTCGCAATTGAGCCTTCCAAATAAACGAACTATATAAAAAAATATGCACAACTTTACCGAAGACGAAAACCGTCTATCTAATTCACATGTTAAGTTAGGGCAACCGATGAAAAATTAGTGTTACACTACCCGAGCAAAGTGAAAGCAAATCGATATTAAAATTTGCAGTGCTTTCATTATGCAGTCAAGACTTTTTAAATCAAAGCAACTCAACTTGAAGTTCTGCTGTTAATTTCTTGTTTAAAATTTGATTTAAGTTCATCGGTCGTTGAACTAACGATTATTGTTTATTTGTTTTGTTCAACACATTTTAGGTCTATCGTGACTAGCCCGAGGTGAGATTTGAGCTTAAGTTTTTCAGCGTGAGAAGCATGGATGCTAACCATTTACGCCAGGCCCGTATTCAGTGAAACATTATGAATGCAAAATCAGTAATCACATTGATTTCATTGAAAGCAGGATTAGTTTTCCGTTTGATTCAATAGTGTAAAATGTTGCTCTCATTTTTGCTATGTTAACCGTTAAGTCAACCAAAATGAGATCAAATGGAGTAGCAAAATAAGTTACATCATAACAGCAAATTATGATTTCAATTTGATCTCTAACTTTGCTCGAGTAGCGCCCCCTAGCAAATTAATTCAGTGCTGTATTATTTACCATACAATAGTTCTTTTCCATGTGAAAAACTTTGCCGAAAACGGACAGCTTCTATCTAGTCAAGATGTTAAGTTAGGGCAAACAATTCGAAATTAATGTCACACTAGCGCTACCTGATGAAGACATTCTGAAATAAATTCTTCCCTTAAGATAGCTCTTGTCCATCTGAACAACTTTGCTGAAGACGGGATGCGTCAATATGAGCAGAAATTGTAGATAGTGTTATTTAATGCAAATTTAGGATGGCGCAACTTGATTATAGCGCCATCTAGTGAGTAAATTCTGTTTTACAATGTCCAAAATTTTGAAGACATTGTATTCCTGAACATATTTCCAGAAGGAAGCAATCTCGGACATCGATTTCCATCTCCAAAACGAGCTTGTTCATCGCCAAAACTCAACAAACAACCCGCTTATGTGTCCTGAACCCAG